CGGGTACAGTGGCTCATGCCTGTAATCCCAATGTGAGCCACCATGCCCGCCCACCCCCTCTTTTTTTTTATCTTTTTTTTTTTTTGAGACAGAGCCTTGCTCTGTTGCCCAGGCTGGAGTGCAGTGGCATGATCTCGACTCACTACAACCTCTGCCACCTGGGTTCAAGAGATTCTCCTGTCTCAGCCTCCTGAGTAGCTGGGATTACAGGTGTGTGCCACCATACCCAGCTAATTTTTCTATTATTAGTAGAGACAGAGTTTCGCCTTGTTGGCCAGACTGGTATCGAACTCCGTACCTCAGGTGACCCGCCCACCTCGGCCTCCCAAATTGCTAGGATTACATGCGCGAGCCACTGTGCCCGACCTAATTTTGTAGTTTTAGTAGAGCTGGGATTTCTCCATGTTGGTCAGGCTGGTTTCGCTCTCTCAACCTCAGGTGATCTGCTCGCCTCAGCCTCCCAAAGTGCTGGGATTATAGGCATGAGCCACTGCACCTGGCCTTTTTTTCTTTTTAAATGTATCCCCATTGTTAAGCCAGGCATGACTATATTGCGTTGGTCTATTCTAATACGTCTGGAAGCTACAGAAGGATTGACTTAAGGTGCTTGTCTTCAATTCAGAATGCATTCCTTGAAAACACTGTAGGGGGAAGGAAGAACCCGTACCCGCCTGGGACAAAAGATTACGATGGAAGAAAACCACAGATGAGCCGAAGTCTGGGATGAAATGCTGTGGTGAAAGTTTCTTTGGGCAATGAGAGCCTTCTAAAGGCACCTATATATACCGAATTATTTATTTATTTATTTATTTTTTATTTATTTATTTATTTTAGACGGAGTCTCGCTCTGCCACCCAGGCTGGACTGCAGTGGCCCAGTCTTGGCTCACTGCAACTGCCACCTCTCGGATTCAAGCGATTCTCCTGCCTCAGCCTCCCTAGCTAGGATTACAGGCACCCATGTATTGGCACCATGCCCAGCTAATTTTTGCATTTTTAGTAGAGACGGGGTTTCACTATGTTGGCCAGGCTGGTCTCTTAACTTCTGACCTCAGGTGATCCACCTGCCTTGGCCTCCCAAAGTGCTGGGATTACAGGCATGAGGCACCGTGCCTGGCCTATACTGAGGAATGTAGAATGCAATGTGTATGCTCCCTGAAGTCCCTAAACTGTCACCTCTGGCGGATCACTAGGCTCAGCATAAGCAGGAAGTAAAGGCTGAAGTGGAGTTGTCAGCATCCTGCTTAAGCCCTGGAGTATCCCCTCATAGATCTGCAGACAGTGGGAAAGGGTATTGCGTGTGTGTGTTCATGAGAAAGGGTCTCACTGTCACCAAGGGTGGAGTGCAGTGGGCCCACCATGGCTCACTGCAGCCTTGAACTCCTGGGCTCAAGCGAGCCTCCTACCTCTGCCTCTGGAGTAGCTAGGACTATAGGTGCACGCCACCACACCTGGGTAATTTATTATTATTTTGTAGAGATGGTGGGGCGGGGGCGAGAGAGTCTGTCTGTGTTGCCAAGGCTGGTCTCATATTGCTCAAGCGATCCTCTCACTTCAGCCTCCCAAAGTGCTGGGATTACAAGCATAAGCGCCCAGCTAGGAGAAGTTTTTTGTTTCATTTTTCTATCTTTTCCTCTCTGTAACATAAAATAAAAAAACTCCTACAACAAAAAGACAAACAGCCTAATATTTAAATGGGCAAAAGACATTAACAGATTTCTTTCCAAAAAAGATGTACACATGACCAAGAAGCAGATAAAAAGATGCTTAACCTTACTATTCATTAGGGAAATGCACATACACTAGGTTGGCTATTAAAAACAAACAAGCAAACAAAAATCAGGGCTGGGCGTGGTGGCTCATGCCTGTAATCCCAGCACTTTGGGAGGCTGAGGTGGGCAGATCACTTGAGGCCAGGAGTTCGAGACCAACTTGGGCAACATGGGATAAACCCTGTCTCTATTATAAATACAAAAATTAGCTTGGCGTGGTGCTGCTAGCCTATAATCCCAGCTACTTGGGAGGCTGAGGCATGAGAATCACTTGAACTTGGGAGATGGAGGTTGCAGCTGCTGCACTCCTGCCTAAGTGAAGGAGTGAGACTGTTGCAAAAAAAAAAAAACAAAAAAAAAAAAAAAACCAAAACAAAACGGAAAATAACAAGTATTGGTGAGGATGTGGAGAAACTGGAACCCTCATACATGGTTGGTGGGAATGGAAAACAGCACAGCTGCTGGGAAAAACACTTTGGTTCCTCAAAAAGTTAAACATAGAAATACTATAGGGTCCAGCAATTCTACCACTAGATCTACACCCCAAAGAACTGAATGCAGGTAATCAAATACACATACATACATGTTAACAGCAGCTGTACTCACAATACCTAAAAGGCTGAAATAACCCTACTGTCCATCAATAACGAATGGCTAAAGAAATTGTGGGGCCAGGCACGGTGGCGCACAACCTTACAGCACTTTGGGCAATGAGCCGGGAGAATCACTTAAGCCCAGGAGTTAAAGACCAGCCTGGGTAACATACGGAGGCTGGTATGTCGCTATAAAAAATAATTAGGCAGGTGTAGTCCCAGCTACTTGGGAGGCTGAGGTGGATCACTTGAGCCAGGGAAGTGGAGAGGGCAGTGAGCTGTGATCATACCACTGCACTCCAGCTTGAATGACAGGGTAAGACTGTGTCTCAAAAAAGAAAAAAGAAAGAAAAAGAAAAATTGGAATTGTGGTATATGCATACAATAGACTACTACTCAGCCATAAAAAGGAATTAAATATTGATACATGGACTAACCCTAGAAACATGCTAAGCAAAAGAAGTTAAATACAAATGGTGACACATTGTCTGCTTCCATTCATATGACATTTAGAGACCGAAAGCAGATTGCTGGTTGCCAGAGGCTGGAGGCGAAGTGGAATGAGGAGTTGATACAGGAGGTAGAAAGAAATTACTTAGGCAGATAGTGAGGGCAAAGAGTCCTCAGCAGAATTTCTTTTCCATTCTTTTTTTTGAGACAGAGTCTCGCTCTGTTGCCAGGTGCCAGGCTGGAGTGCAGTGGCGTGATCTTGGCTCACTGCAACCTCTGCCTTCCGGGTTCCAGCAAGTCTCCTGCCTCAGCCTCCAGAGCAGATGGGACTACAGGCACACACCACCACGCCCAGCTAATTTTTTGTATTTTTGTTTCACTAAAATACAAAAAGACGGGGTTTCACTATGTTGGCCAGGATGGTCTTGATCTCTTGACCTTGTGATCCGCCCACCTCGGCCTTCCAAAATGCTGGGATTACAGGAGTGAGCCACCACGACTGGCCCAGAATTTCTTTTGTAACAGAAAGTAGCCCCACCTTGGCCAGGCGCAGGGCTCATGCTTGTAATCCCTGCACTTTGGAAGGCCGAGGCGGGCGGATCACGAGGTCAGGAGTTTGAGACTAGCCTGGCCAATAATGGTGAAACCTTGTCTATACTAAAAATATAAAAATTAGGCAGGCATGGTGGTGCATGCCTGTAGTCCCAGCTACTCAGGAGGCCAAGGCAGAATTGCTTGAACCTGAGAGGCGGAAGCTGCAGTGAGCCGAGATCGCACCACTGCACTCCAGCCTGGGCGACAGAGCGAGACTCTTGTCTCAAAAAATAAAATAAAAATCCATTAAAAGCCGGGCGCTGTGGCTCAAGCCTGTAATCCCAGCACTTTGGGAGGCCGAGGCGGGTGGATCACGAGGTCAAGAGATCGAGACCATCCTGGTCAACATAGTGAAACCCAGTCTCTACTAAAAATACAAAACATTAGCTGGGCATGGTGGCACATGCCTGTAATCCCAGCTACTCAGGAGGTTGAGGCAGGAGAATTGCCTGAACCCAGGAGGCGGAGGTTGCTGTGAGCCGAGATCGCACCATTGCACTCCAACCTGGGTAACAAGAGCGAAACTCCGTCTCAAAAAAAAAAAAAAAAAAAAATCCATTAAAAAAGGAATCACCCTTGAAGTGCTCACAGTGCAGGTAGAAAAAATTAAAAAAGGCCGGGCGTGGTGGCTCAAGCCTGTAATCCCAGCACTTCGGGAGGCTGAGGCGGATGGATCACGAGGTCAAGAGATCGAGACCATCCTGGTCAACATGGTGAAACCCCGTCTCTACTAAAGATACAAAAAATTAGCTGGGCATGGTGGTGCGTGTCTGTAATCCCAGCTACTCAGGAGGCTGAGGCAGGAGAATTGCCTGAACCCAGGAGGCGGAGGTTGTGGTGAGCCGAGATCGCGCCATTGCACTCCAGCCTGGGTAACATGAGTGAAACTCCGTCTCAAAAAAAAAAAAAAGGAATCACCCATTCTCCACTATTACTTCAAAATATCCAAGCAGAGAGGAAAATGATAGAAAAACTTGGGAGTGAAAAGGAATACCAAACCGATATTACAAAGAGCTGCTACTTCCCCAGATTTTCTAAAAGCAGGAAAGTGCCGACAACAACCAGCTGTATTTGAGGTGTGTTTGTCATCACCTGCCAACTTTTTCTGGGTCTATCTTTGAAGACTAAACATTTCCATGTACACTGTTTATGTTTCCACGGGAACCAAATAACAGATTATTTATTTACTGAGGGCCTACGATGTGCGATGCACTGAGGAAGTAAGCACTCAACAGGCATTTCACCTATCCCACGACAGCCCAGTGGGGTAGGCCTATTATTCCCACTTTGCAGAAGAGGAAACTGAGGCACAAATAAAGGGTGGGGTGGGAGCTGAACCAGGCAAAGTGGCTCCCATTCCCACACTCTCCTCACCTCTTCCTACCTGGGTTGTCGTTTTTCTGACCCGCGGCTACTGTAATGACTCTGTTTACCTGCTGGCCCTTGAGTTTTGAGACCGTTGGGGTGCATAGTGTGGCCACACCCCTCCCCTGTCTATAAGCCAGGAAAGCCGAGCGCTCAATAGGAACCGAGCCTCATCTCAATGCTCACAGTCGCTCTATAGGGTGGTCGCTCCAGCACTCCCAACTTACTAGTAAACTGATACACTGATGCTCCTAATGCGCAAAAGGCGTCGAAACTGGGGCCACGCTCCCAGACCAAGCAAAACACCACGTCACGGGTATCTCCGCCCCGCCCCAGCTGAGCCTTTTTATGAGCGAGCCCTACGGGTCGCGTACAGGGCCATGCCCAGTCGCTACTTTTTGGTCCACTGTACCCCGTGGATCCGGCCAAAGGTTGTCATGCGCGGCGCACTCTGGGAAAACTGCGGGGACATGCCTAACAGGACCCTGCCGCCTCTAACTTTAGTTGTCTTAGCTATTGCCTACAAAAGATGCGCCATCATGGCACTTATTTTTGTCATTTTCCTCCACCAGCGGCCGAGACCAGAGCCGAACCCTTTGACAAAAATGTTTCAAGACAGTTGAGTGTCTCCTGGCGCCTCAGGCATTCATTCGGGCAGCCTGCCTCTCTCGGGGTCCTTCACTTTTGGCACTGCTGGTTACAGACAACCGATAGTAGCGGCTGCCAATGAGCTCCGCCGAGTAGGACGGGGGCAGGGCTAGGGCTTAAAGGAGCCGTGACCCCTTTGCAGACCAGAGGGTGACCCGGATGATGGCGGCCGGCACGGCCCTAGCCCTGGCCTTATGGCTACTAATGCCACCCGTAGGGGTGGCAGGGGCGGGACCCCCGCCAATCCAGGACGGTGAGTTCACGTTCCTGTTGCCGGCGGGGAGGAAGCAGTGTTTCTACCAGTCTGCGCCGGCCAACGCAAGCCTCGAGACCGAGTACCAGGTAGAGGGTCGAGGGCTGGGCAACCAGCGGAGTCAGGGAGAGGGGGCGTGGCCAAGCCGCCTAGGCGAGGCGCGCTTTAGTGGGAAGAGGGAGGAGTCCGTGCGTGGGAGCGCGGGGGTGGGGCTGGAAAGAGATGGACAGATGGGGCGGGGATGGCGTGTGCGAGCGGAAGGGGAGGGAGTAATAAAGAAGGTGGGGCTAGAGTGATACATCCAGAGGGGGCGGGGCCAACGAGAAGTATAGGTAGCATATGAGAGGACGGGACTCTCGCTGCTGGGCGTGGCGATAATGCTGATAGGTCGACAACGGGGGCGTTGCTGACAAGCCTTTCTCGGGGGTTAGACTAAGGAAAGAGGCAGGGCCTATCGTCTTTTGGAGGCGGAGCTAACCGGGGGCGTGGCCAGGTAAACGTCCTTCGAGGACTTTTGATAGGTGCGTGGTCAGCTGAGCTCAAAGTATGGACCCCAAGCTGTCATATCAATGAGGGTGGAGGCAAGGGGCGCAGCCATTGGGACAGGTTGGGGCGGGACCGATTGTGGGTGTGCCGGCATTCAGGTAAGCCTTTCGTGGTCTGTATGGGTCGGTGTGTGGTTCAGCCATAGCCCTCTTTGGTAGGCACCCTTGGCCTACCGATAGCCCTTCACCCGCTCTTACCTGTCCCCCAGGTGATCGGAGGTGCTGGGCTGGACGTGGACTTCACGCTGGAGAGCCCTCAGGGCGTGCTGTTGGTCAGCGAGTCCCGCAAGGCTGATGGGGTACACACGTGAGTTCAGTCCGGCTGCCTGCCTAGATCAGTTACAGTCCTGCCTCTCCCAGGTGGCCTCAGGTTACTGCCCTGACTGCCCCACTGAGTTGGCTGGTTGGCCACCTTGGGTCATGTTTGTGGGTCTATCTGTCTGCCCAGGGTGGAGCCAACGGAGGCCGGGGACTACAAGCTGTGCTTTGATAACTCCTTCAGCACCATCTCCGAGAAGCTGGTGTTCTTTGAACTGATCTTTGACAGCCTGCAGGATGACGAGGAGGTCGAAGGATGGGCAGAGGCTGTGGAGCCCGAGGAGATGCTGGATGTTAAAATGGAGGACATCAAGGTATGTCCAGGCTGCGCTGGGGCTACTCCTTCCAGATCTCTAGGATTCAGCTGGGGTGCCCCTCCTTGGCCTCACCCACCCTCCTGTCTGTACTGGTGCCCTCAACTGAACTAGTAACAGTAGCAGCAATTAAAATAGTTCATTTCAGGCCGTGCATGGTGGCTCACACCTGTAATCCCAGCACTTTGGGAGGCTGAGGCAAATGGATCACCTGAGATCAGGAATTCGAGACCAGCCTGGCTAACATGGTGAAATGCCATCTCTCCTAAAAATACAAAATATTAGCCAGGTGTGATGGCAGGCACCAATAATCCCAGCTACTTGGCAGCCTGAGGCAAGAGAATCACTTGAACCCAGGAGGCAGAGGTTGCAGTGAGCCAAAATTGTACCATTGCATACCAGCCTGGGGAATAAGAACGAAATTGTCTCAAAAACAAAAAACAAAAAAACCCCCAGCAGTTCATTTCTAGGTGTAAACGTGGTTTAAAGGTTTAAGGAACTTGTATCATAAATAATTCATACTGTAAATCTCCATAACCATCTTGTGAAGTAGACCTTGTGGTCAAATTATACCCATTTTACAGGTGGGAAAAGTGAGATACAGGATGGCTGAGCAACTCAAGGGTACACAGACCAACTAGCAGAGTTGGTACTGAACCCAGACTGGTTTCAGCAACTGTGCTCTTAACCACAAGCAAATATGTTCTGTATGTTTATTACTGTTTTAATTAACTATTGTTTTATTTTATTTCAGACAGATCTCTCTTGGTTACCCAGGCTGGATTGCAGTGGTGCGATCTCAGCTCACTGCAACCTCTACCTCTCAGGTTCAAGTGATTCTCCTGCCTTAGCCTCCTAAGTAACTGTGCTACCATGCCCAGCTAAGTTTTGTATTTTTAGCAGAGACAGGGTTTCACCATGTTGGCCAGGCTGGTCTCGAACTCTAGATCTCAGGGGATCTGCCCACCTCGGCCTCTCAAAGTTCTGGGATTACAGATGTGAGCCATAGCAAGGCAGGGTCTTGCTCTGTCACTCAGGGTAGAGTGCAGTAGTGTGATCATAGCCCATTGCCGCCTCAAACTCCTGGGCTCAAGCAATCCTGCCACCTCAGTGGGACTGCAGATGCACACTACCATGCCTGGATAATTTTTTGTTTTCTGTAGAGATGAGGTTTCACCATGTTGCCCAGGGTGGTCTTGAACTCTTGGGTTTAAGTGATCCTCCTGTGTTGGTCTCTTAGTGTTTTGATTATAGGTGTAATCTTGCCTCAGCCTCCTGAGTAGCTGGGATTACAGTTGCACACCACCCCCCGTCTAATTTTTTGTATATTTTGTAGAGATGGGGTTTTGCTATGTAGCCCTGGCTGGTCTCAAACTCCTGGGCTCAAGTGATCCTCCCAGCTCAACGTCCCAAAGTGCTGGGATTACAGGCGTGAGCCACCATGCTCGTCCTTGTACATTTATTTAAGCATTAAATTTTCACAGCAATTTGGCAGCTTATAGAAGAGGAAACAGGCTCAGAGAGGTTAAGTTGCTCACAGTCACACAGCCAGGGAGTGGTAGAGTGAGGACTCGAACTTAGCCTGAACAAGTCTGTCTTTGCAGCTGTACCTCCCAGGGCTAACATAGCCTCCCCCGACATCCCCAGGCTTTTTTGGTCTCTGCTCCCCAATGGGCGGAGGCCTGACCCCTCCACTCCCTCTGCCCTGCAGGAGTCCATTGAGACTATGCGGACCCGGCTGGAACGCAGCATCCAGATGCTGACGCTGCTGAGGGCCTTCGAGGCACGTGACCGCAACCTGCAAGAGGGGAACTTGGAGCGGGTCAACTTCTGGTCGGCTGTCAACATGGCAGTGCTGCTGCTGGTGGCTGTGCTGCAGGTCTGCACGCTCAAGCGCTTCTTCCAGGACAAGCGCCCAGTGCCCACATAGCCCCTGCCACAGAAGGAAGAACGGGACGAAGGAGGGGCAATGGGGTGTGCGCATGTGAGACTTGGGGGTCCCTCCCCAATTTTAGGTTCCTGCCAAAGGAGGAGTGTGCAGTCGGGGCCTGAGGTCTGGCCCTGTGAGTCTCCTTCCGTCCTCAGCGGGCAGGGAACGCCTCTGGCTTGCAGAAGGGGCGGCTCGGCGGCTGCATTGATGTTTCTGGAAATCTTGCAGGGTGGGCACTGCAGCGTTGGAATGGGAGCCTCGGGTTTCCTGGCCCCTCTACTGTAAATGTGCCTTAATCTAAGCCTTCCATGTTGTATGAGCATTGCCAGGTGTGGGGCAGGGCCTAACAAGGACACCTGGCTCCTCCAAGCCAGGTTGAGGTCTGGTAATAGAACACCAGTAAGGGGCCTGCAAGATCACCTGCCCCACCCCCTCTCCCTGTAGGGGCCCCACACAGGCATGAGTGGTGGCCCCGCCAACGTCTAGGCAGAAGCCTCCTGTAACAAAGGGTGGTGTGGCCTGGGCATCGGAGTCAATAAATTATGGTCAGAAAATCACAGAGCCTGCTGACTGGGGCTCAGGGACACCAGCTGGGACAGACCAGCCCCGAGAGGGCAGCCAGACAGGCGGGAGGGGCCTCCCACGAAGCTCAGAAGAAAGGTCGTGCGGGAGCCGATGGAGGTGGTCGCCTGGCACAAGAGAAAAATCAGAAAGCAAAGTTTAACTGAGCCCTGGCTGGGCCATGAGACCTGGGCTTCCCCATGAGAGGGTGAGAAGCAGGGACTGAGGGTAGGAAGGGGGTGAAGTGCTGGGGTCCCTGCTGCACCAGGCAGCAGCCAGGCCTGTGCGCATGGGGGTCTGTGGGGGAGTGGAGAAGATCTGCTTGCACTCCTGGTGTGCTAAAGAAAGTAAAAGCTCTCCCGTGTATCAAGTGGCTTCCTCCGAAAGGTGACCCCCCTGAAAGCAGAGCCCTCAGGGAGTGAGGTGTGAGGTGCTTATGATTGTAGGGAACTGGGCATCCTTGTGAGAGTCCTGATGGGAGAGGTGGTGCCCACGTCCCCAGCCTGAACACCAACACAAGAGGCCCACACAGCAGCCACCAGCAGCGTCTTCCCTTTATTTTAGTTTATTAATAGGATACAGAGTGCAGGCACTTACAGTGGTCAAACTGAGCGAGGAGTGGGTGAGGTCTGCTCAGAGGCCGCCCGGGGTCCACCCCGTCAGGGTGGCATGGGCGGGAGCTGAGAGGCCCCCAAGGTCCCCCTGCCACCACCATCCACATAGCCCCAAGCCCAGCCACCCTGGGGGACCCGGGAGGAGGAGGAGGAGAGAGGAGTAGGGCGATGCTGGCCCGGGCCAATGGCTCCGGGCCTGGCAAAGGCACCTCTGGCAGCCGAGGCTGGGCCAGGC